AAAAAACTGTGCTCTATATGTGTACTATGAATTGTAATTCATTCTGCTGTTATGTATAAAAAATTCAAATAAAGAAATTTAAAATAAAATTTTAAAGAAAGAATGTGGTACTCAAAATCAGAATGGTGTTTTAGACCTGGTTCTACTATTACACAACTGTATGATCTTTAGAAAGTTAATTTGTATTTCTGAACCTCAGTTTCTTCATGTAAAAATTAAAGATCAGGGGCTGGGGCTGTAGCTCAGTGGTAGAGCACTTGCCTTGCAGGTGTGAGGCCCTGGGTTCTATCCTCAGCACAAGAAAGAGAGATAGAGAGAGAGAGAGAGAGAGAGAGAGAGAGAGAGAGAGAGAGAGATATGAATGGTGTCCATCTACAACTTTAAAAAATTATAAAATGAAGATCAGATTATAGATACTATCTATAGGTCTTTCCATCTCTGTTGTTCTAAAGATCCAGAATCTCATATCCCTATCTACAGTATTAGTTGTTTGAAAATAGAAACTATAGTCCCAAGTATTAACCAAAGTTTTCTTACATTAAAATCATCTGGAGAATTTGATTAAATGAAGATTTTAGGTACTATTCTCAGAACTTCTAAATCACAATCTTCAAGTGTGAAGCCTGCACTTCTTGCTTCTTGCTTACCCATACCAAACACTGAGAACCATTGTATTTAGCACATTGATAAACCATTGTTGGTTGTTAGAGCTTCAGGGACAACCAAGCTAGATGATTTAATAGAATGAACTAGTAAAGATGAATAAAGTAAGGAAGCACATGGATTTTTTTTCAACATACAAAGGCATATTTAATATGGTATGAAAACAAGCAAAAGGAAACAGCAGCTCCTTTATCAGAACTTTCACATATACTATACATTTTAAAGTTGAGTTGGCTCTTTTTTTTCTAGTAGATACAAATAAAGTGCCAACCCTAATATTCTAAGACAACTTTTTAGTAGTCTCATCCTTCCAAACCTTGAATATAAAAAAGTTTCTTTTTCAAAAAATATTTTCCATTATAATTATACATAATAGAGGGATTCATTATGACCTATTCACACACACACACACACACACACACACACATAGCATATATTAGTCTATGCAATCATTATGCCCTGGTATTAAAATCAAGCACTTCATTCTGCTTTTGCAGGAAGGATCTCTTGGCTTCTTATTTAGCATAATTGCTAAAACGTTTGGGCTATTTGGTTTCCAAAGCATTAGCAGGATGTAAACAAAATAATGTAAATAGGAAAGGCAACAACTAGCAGTGAGGATGGTGATAAAAATTGAAAAAGCAGATAAAGAATTAATATAATGAATGTTCTTTATAAGAATCAAAAATCACCAAGAAAAGGGACTATTGTGCTCATAATCTTTGTTTAGGTTTATAAGAAAATATGCAACATATTTTTAGAAAAGTTTAAAATGTCAGAAGAACTTAACCCCTTAAAGTAAGATTTGTTTATTTAGAACTTCTACCTTATTTAGAACATTTAGCATGGTCCAATGAAATCATATCCATGAGGAGTTAACAATAAAGGTCTAGTTTCACTTCCCATCTTGGGAGAAACAAAGAGACTCATATGCCAAGACTTAAATGGATATTTAAGTCCAGTTCTGTAGTCCTAAGCCCCAGTAAAAATCCTGATAAAAGATTGAAAGAATCAGAGTACATCAGTAATTCTTAAAAATAATTCAAACAGTTATATTTCAAGATGCATGTTTCCAAGAAAATGGTACTATAACCAAATGTAAAACAAACAAACAAAGTTCACTAGGAAGGAATGAAATATCCTGTGTAATACTGAAATATTTTAAGCTTAAGGTGTTATTAGTAATTATATCCCCTTGTGTTATGTTTTAGATATGAGGTATTTCCAAAAATCTCATATGTGAGACAATGCAAGAATTTTCAGAGGTATAAAGAAATTATGAGAGGTATAAAGTAATTGGCACATTAATTCAATCATATGGATTAACTGTGCTATAACTGTAGGCAGGTAGGGTGAAGCTAGAGGAAGTAGGTCAGTGGGGGCATGACTTTGGAGTTTATATATTTTGTCTCTCTGATTCCTGGTTGCCATGTCCTGAGCTGCTTTCCTCCACCACACCCTTCCACCATGATGCTGTGCCTCAGGCCCAGAGCAATGGAGGGAACTGAAACTGGACCGAACCTCTGAAACCCTCAGCCAAAATAAACTTTTCTCCCTCTACATTGTTCTTGTCAGGTTTGTTGCTCACAACAAGGAAAAAGCTGATTAAAACATATAGGATTTTAGTCTAAAAGAAGTTCAACAATTCTGAAGAACAGAGTTTGGTGGCAGGAGGACTAACTAAATATGGCTAATAAGGTAGACAGATAGAAGCTGGACCATAGTGGGCTTTATAAAATTATAAAAGGAGTTTTTACTTTATTCTACAAAAAATAAGATACCATTAAAGGGATGTAAATAGGTTTGGTATAATTTAGCATGCATGACAGAAGGAAACTGGCTATAGAGTAGGATTAGATGGGGGCAGACTTTAAGAATTACAACCAAATAGAGGCTCTTGCCATGGTACAAGTGAATTAAACTAGTGTGGTAGTGGGAAAATGGGTGAATTCAAGGCACACACAGGATAGAAATAATAGATCAGAGCAATTGATTCAAACTGGAGAGTGAAGGATACAAAATTGGCAAAAATAGAATTCTAAGTTTCTGGCTCAAGCAACAGAGTGCATGATGGCAACACTGACTAAAATAGGGAAAATGGAAAAAAGGATATGTTTTTGTTTTGTTGTGTTTGTTCTTTATGGTGAGGGAGATGTAAATGATGAGACTACTTTGGACATGCTTATTTTAAGGATTTTGTGGAATAATCAAGTGACATACCTAACAAAATGTTGAATATAGAAATATGATGTTCAAGAGAAGTCAGAAATGGAGGGTGAGATGAAAGTATGATGAGCAATTGAGGTGAGGCTACAAAAGTCTTGGCTCCTTGTCTCAAGGTATGACTATTCCATTTATGACTCCTATCTCCTTGTATTGTCAAATTGAGGCTATAATTCACATGAAATCACACTTTTGCTTAACTTTACCCATTTCCCTATCTTGTTGCCTTACTTTCTTACAGTTTTCTGCTGTGAGTATTCTCTTAATAAATCCTTTGCTCAAGAATACTTCCATCAGATGGAATTAGCAAAGACAGTAGAATGAATTGGACATAACTTTCCTATGTTCTTGTATGAATACACAACCAGTAAAATGCTGCATCATGTACAACCACAAGAATGGGAAATTTTACTCCATGTATGCATGATATGTCAAAATACACTCTACTGTCATGTGTAACTAAAAAGAACAAATAAATAAATTTTAAAATGAGTATTTCTGTCATGCCCTGCTTCTAGAGAATATAATCTAAGTACCCAGGAATTCTGTCTCTGAAGTCAAAGAACATCATACTATATGTGTATATTTTATGTATACTTCTCTCCTTATGTTTTATTTTATGAAACAAAAAAAGATAGTGGTGGGTGTAGGAATGGGTAAGAGGCAAGCAGAAGCAATCAAACAGACCACTTGTTCAATAAGCATGAATGTAAAGAGGAGCAAACACTACAGGGACTATCTGTGGAGAAAATCTTTAAGTTTAAGATAAGAGATTCCTTATCATTTTTAAATGTTAATGCACCAAACCCAAAAAAATGTGTAGTTTGAAGATTTATGAGAGAAGAGATAAAATTAATAGCAAAAGCTGGAGACAACTGCTTTTAAGATATCACAGAGGGGATTCAACATGAGCTACGGACCTAGGAAGATCTTTGAGGTCTCTTTTTGTGGGAGAGGGGTACCAGGGGCACACAACCACTGAGCCACATCCCAGCCCTATTTTGTATTTTATTTAGACACAGGGTCTCACTGAGTTGTTTAGTGTCTCGCTTTTGCTGAGGCTGGCTTTGAACTCATGATCCTTCTGTCTCAACCTCTGGAGCCACTGGGATTACAGGCATGCACCACTGAGCCCGACTTTGAGGTCTCTTTTTATCTTGAGATTCTGAGCTGATAATTTTTCTCTCAAATACAATGTAATATATCAGAAACCAGAGTATTTGGTTCATCTGAGGAAAACTCTGAAATGTGAGGTAAGCATTTATCAAATTCTTCTTTTGCCCCAAACCTTAAGTATTCTTACCCGCCAATATCTTGCTTTACAAAGTCCCCAGGTTCTTGTCGTCTTGATTCCCCTTGGCCAGTCGTTCCAGGGAGAATATTAATCAGAAAAAGAAGCCCAAGTCTGGTAATGTAGAAATGACACATATGTGTGATCATCATCTTCTCAGGTACTAACTTGGAGAGACCTGTGAAATCCACAATACAAGGAAAGGGGAATGGACAAAAGGGTAGAAAACAAAGGGAGGGAGGGGAAACAGATTAAAATGTATTCAGCTCTATTGGAACCATTTAACTCTTCTAGTATCCAGTTACAGAATGCTTAACCTGATATCCTCCTTCCCCCAGCTCATCAGTGCTACCAAAATCCACACCAATATAGGACATTTTTTCTGAATACACCAGAGCTCATCAAAAAAGGATACATAGGATAGTATAAAGAATTCTAGATCAAAAATCAAGAAACTTAACATATATTTCCATCTCTTTCCTTGTCTTCCTCTATGATGAAGTAACTTCCAGAACTTCCCTTAGCCTCAATTACCCCTTATACTCCAAGAGCTTAAAATGGTCTCTCACATATTTATTTTATTTCTCCTAATGCCACTTGACCTTTAGTGTCACAAAGGCTTTTCCTTTAGTTAACAGTGTAATAATGTAGAACTTCTGGCATATTAAGACCTGGAGACTTGCCAGGTAAGGTAGCACACACCTGTAAAACCAGCAGTTTAAGAGGCTGAAGCAGAGATATGTTACGTATGATCAGCTATTACCATTAAATGAATATGTCTATTGGTATATGTTCAGACAACCATCAATAAATGCAGAGATAGACTTTACACAAATAGATACCTAAATCATTATAACAAACTTTGTGATGTTTCAAATGATCATAGTGCATAAACTGAAAACTGTGATACTCACAGTGCCTTCAAACAAAATAAAGTGTTCATATAGCTGGAGATAAGTTGATTCATGCAGAGAGGTATTTGATTTATTTATCCTTAAGTGACATAGTTTAAGAGAAAATGGCCCTACTGTGAGAGTAGACTACCATGACGCAGAAGAGAATATCATGGTCCATAAGCAGGCAGACACAGTCAAAAATTTTCACAGGAGCAGAGAGGCAAGATACAAATGAAAGTGGGGTATCAATGACTACCGTGAGTGAAGAATTATCTATAATATTTGGATACACAACTATAGTGAAAACATCCATGGTGAATAAACTAAAAATTACAGGAAAGGAATATCATGTAATTACATAAATAGTCAAACAACCATGATGCATGAGAAGAAAGTAAAGCCTAATAATTGTTTAAAAGTCACTGTGAATAACCTAAAGCACACCACCAGTGTAGACAGCTATGGTGTATGTTTATATAAGTACAGTACATGGAAAACACCAACATTATAGGAGCTTACAACCAACTGTGGCACAGCAGCAGATGACTGTAGCAGGAGCAGAATGGCTATGAAACAGAATGAGACAAACCTTAGGCAGTTTCAGATAATCATGGTGTCTGAATGGATTATTCATGATATATGAACACATAACCATGACACATACTCAAGTCACATAACATATGATTGCACAGGCAAATTAGCAAATGGTTACTCTACCTATTCACCCTACTCGAGAGCTAATAGGACAAGGAACAAAGAAAGAGAAAATATCATACATAAAATCGAAAAATTGAAAATTAACACCTCCATCTCAGAATCGATCTCTTCTACCTCCATCTCTTCTAGAATCCATATCTGTATCTGTTCTCCAGGAGAAAACTCATAACTTAACTCAGATGTTAGACCTAGCATGTGCAAACCTGAGTCTCAGATATTCACATACAGCCCCCACACACACAGCATCAATGGGCCTCTTGCAGTCTGTCCCACCTCAATTAATAGTAATTCCACCCTTCCACTTGCTCAGAGTAAAGCTTTGATATCAATCTTGACTCCTCTGTTACTCTTATACCCTACATACAATGTATCAGTAAGCCCCAATTGATAGTCCATTCAAAAGGAAACATATCCAGGTAACAACCACTGCTCCTTACCTCCTCCAATATCATCTGGCTTGTTGTCTCTTTTCAAGATTATTGTAAAAGCTTTCTAACTTAGCTTGTTGCCTCTGCCCTTATTCCCCTTACTTCTATTCTACAAAAAGTAGCCAGAGTACACTTTCAAATTGTTATATGAGATCATGTCTCTTCAATTTCTCAAAGTCCTCCAATGCCTTCCCATTTCAAAAGCTTCACTGGGATCTACAAGGCCCTAGATGAACTCATCCCCAAATAGCTGGCTAACTTTATCTCCTATTAGCACTCCATTCTGGCCACTGTGGCTTCCTTGCTGCTCATTGATTATTCTGGGCATTTGCACTTGCTGGAGACTCTACCTAGAATTTTAATCCATCTAACTTCCAGATAGTTTGTTCCTCCACTTCCTTCAGGTTTTAATTCAAATAACATTTTTGCATTGAGGCCTTCTCTAGCCACCCTTTGTAAAATTTCCCTAATAATTTCTACATATTTGCTTGCTCTATTTTCTTCATTTGCACTTCTAATATATAGTTTATGTATTTTTGTTATTGTATGCTTCCCTAATAAAATATTTAAATGGGGACAAGGATATATGCAGTTGTCCCTTGGTATCTGTGTGATATTCTAAGACACATCTCCCTAAACCAAAATCTTCAGATGTTCAAATGCCTTTTATAAAATGGTGAAATATTCACATACAATCTATGTATATCCTCTAGTATACTGCAAATCCTCTCCAGATTACATATAATACCTAATACAATGTAAATTTTATGCAAATCATTGTTATACTATATTGTTTAGGGAATGACAAGAGGAAAAATTTGGATATAATCCAGAGACATTATTTCTTTGAATATTTCCAATTTATGGTTGTCTGAATCTGTAGATACAGAACTTTCATAGAAGAGTGCTTAACAAGCCAGTCACAGTGGCACATGTCTGTAATCCCATTGTCTCAGGAGGCTGAGGCAGAAGGATTGCGAGTTCAAAGCCAACCTCAGCAAAAGCACGGTGCTAAGCAACTCAGTGAGACCCTGTCTCTAAATAAAATACAAAATGGGGCTGAGGATGTGGCTCAGTAGTTGAGTGCCCCTGAGTTCAATCCCTGGTACCAAAACAAAAGTGCTTAACAAATAATGGGTACTTTAAAAATAACAAGTGAATGTTACTATGGCAAAGACATAACCCTAAACAAAGTAAAATGGTATAAAGGATTGAATATACGATGGACTTTGGAACCTGCCAGACCAAGAGTGTATAAGGAATTACCAAATACTAGTTGTTTTAGGCTTTAAAGACCTCTTTATTCAATTAAAATGGGGATAATAACATAGGGACTATAAAACTTAAATAAGATAATATATATAAAATGCCTAGCGAAGGACCTACTTCTTCTGTTACATCCTGTCCAAGTACAAATGTATCTTATCATGAATATTTGAGCACCTGCTATGTACAAGGTACAGATACAGCCAGTTCTTCTATTGGATTTGTTTTTAAAATTAAATGTTTTATAGATCATAATGTTGTGTCAACTTGTTCAATTTCAAATTTCTATATGGTATGTTAAGGATTGTAAGTAATTGACTACAAAATCTTTTAAGAATGAGCAGTACTTTAAACCTTGGTGCATTTATATGGACTTAGATGAAACTCTGGTTATAAACTTGGGGGAAGGAATAAAAGAGTTTATTTTATAGCATCTGGGAAACAATACTTGGGATGAGTGTGTGCATGCAAAGTTCTGAGAGTGCCAATATCTGGAGTTTTCGAGGTACTGTGCTCTACAGTGAGCCTCAGCTCTGCCCTAACTAGTCATCCATTCCTAAGGTCATATTCTAAGCTTTGTTGATAAAAAATCTATGATCTCAAATGACTCTCTGATCACATCTTTCCAAATCATTTTATGGAGTACCTTCATACTATCGATTCTTCTGTCTCCTGCTCCAATATCTCTGATCCTTTGAATATAACCTTTAAATTACACATCATCACCTTTGTGTTCTCTTTAACTTTCTTATCCTTCTTGGATTACACACAGAGACCATGATTAAAATCAGTATAATCATTCTCCAGTACGTACCTTAAACACACTTGCTTCTCTCTTACTCTGTTGTAGCTGCCTGGGAAAACATAAATTCTTGTTAAATTCAACCCTTTACCAGCAAACAAGCACTTGAATATAGCTAGAGGAAAATTCACAATTATGCCTGAGTGCCCTCTCTAGGTTTTCAACATACTTCTAATGTCCCAGGATCTTTTATATTTGCTAAACCAATTTACTCTCCCACTCTCTGATACAATAATTTTAAATTTCTTTTCTCTGCTTAAATCTCCAATATTTCTTCCCCCAGACTCTCAACAAAAGGCTTTGCTTGTTTTATCAAGAAAAACAAAAGCAATCAGAAAATAATTCCTCCATCTACATAATATCAATTATACCAACCTACCTGAATCTCAGCCGTATATTCTACCTTCCCTCTATTATCAAAGGCCTCTGTGATCCTGTTTAACACTAGCCCACCCACACATGCCCTGGATCCTATTCCCCGTTCCATGCTGAAGGATATTATTCCTGTTATATCTCTCCCACACTTGTCAGTATTGTTCTCTAGTGGCTCATTCCCTGCAGTATAAAAACAATGTAATATCATCCATTGTCAAAAAGAAAAAAAATTTCTCCCTTGACATGACATTGCCCTCCAACTCTTTCCCACTTTCTCAGCTTCATTTCAGTAATTTTCTATATCACTACTTCAGCTTCCTCCCTAATCATCCTCTAATACCATCCACACCAATCAAGTATTTTCACTTATAACTTCACTGAAATTACTTTCTATTAATTCATTCAAAACTTATGGAATAATATATACCAGACACCATCCTAAGTGCTGGAAATATAGCAGTAAACAAACAAAAAAAATGGAATCTACAAAGAAATAGAAGAACAATAGACCTAGGATTTGTCTCTCATATTTCAAATCCACCACATACAATCCACATACATACTTCAAATTTTCTGTTTTATACCCTATATCCAAATTATCATTCTGTTGACTTTAGAACATATGCAAAATCTACTTCACCCATTCTTTATTGCTCCTAAGGTGTTGGGTACACAATATCATCTCCCAGCCTTATGACTCCAAT